CGGGCCTCTGATATTTAAAACCAGCAGAGAAGCTTTAATTTAGGAAGCAGAGTTTGTTCTAAAGACAGACGCTGGTTCATAATGACTATCAAAACACTGTAAACATCCAAATACAGCACAAACATTGCTCAGGATCACTGCACACAGACACTTGCTGTCCTTTCAGAGCTATTCCATCTTCTTAGAGACAGCAACCCTTGTGCCATAGAGGACCTGGGCCATTAGGACGATGCTAAGAAATGAAGACAATCCCAGAGACACAGTAGTAAAGGATCCTCCGCTCTCCTGCAACAAACGATTTCATAAAAATGGAGTTAAAATGCAGAATATGGCAGAAAAGTGTAAAACATTCACCTGGCTACATGTCTACCTTTTAAATAAGAGCTCCCATCTCAGTTAGACGTCATGTATAAATAAAGAGGATAAGGGTCATTAAAAACAGGCTATTGAATTCTTTGTAAAAAGTCCATCACTCAGCTGTAGTTGATGCAAAACGCTGCTGCCCATGTCCTCACTAGAACTAAGAAAGTAGAGCACATCAGTCCGGTTCTGAAGTCCTTGAATCCCCTTGGCTCAGAAAATAGATCTCATCCAAAGCAGAATCTTTTGACCCTTATATAGTTTTTCTCATAAACTTGCTTTGCCTTCAGAATTCTGATTTTAATATCAGAATACTGATTTGTTTTCCAGAGTTTAGTCGTTATTTTCCGAATTCTGACTTTAATTTTAAAATTCTGACTTTCTTTTCAGAATCCTAACTTTATTCCAGAATTCGGAATTTGGTTCAGAATTAAAAGTCAAATTACATAAGACTCTATCGCCAAAGCCCAGGATTATCACCAGCAGTCATATTTCTATGATAATAATTCTAAGATTAAAGTCAGAATTCTGATATTAAAAACAGAAATCAATATCTTTTATGGCACTAATCCTCTTCCTTATATAAATAAATGTTTGATAAAGATAACAGTAATATTTTTGGCTTTTGGACTGACTGCATACCTGCACAGACACAATAACAGCACCAAGCGAGCCGAGGCATGACAGTAACAATGACAGGATGGACAGCTGACCGGTGTGGCCATTATGGTGGTTTGCTGCAGTTTGAACAACCTGGAAAAAAGCAATAAGCGGCACAGATGTGTCAACATAGAAGAGTCTAGAAATCTGCAGAAAGAATAAACTGATATATTACTACCTTGCTTAAAATGAGAGCTGGAATGGTGGATGTGTGCATGACTTTGCCGACAGCTGCAGCGGTGTACAAGCCAAGGAGGAGCATTACACTTCCATAACCCAGGAGCACCAGCACGCCTGGCAAACAAATAGATGCACGTGAAAATGTGTAAAATCTAGAATACCGTTTAAAAAATAAAATCTAAACTGCAAAATCTAATATAAAAAAGATCTTAAACTAAGTGTATTTGATCTTAATTTAAGTTGAATGAAATGATCTGATGATAGAATGGATAATAAGATAATTAGATATTATGAACTTGAAATAAGATAATGGAGCTTTTGTTTCTTATTTTGAATGAAAATCATCTTATTCCATGGGCAAATTCTCTTACTTCCCCAAAACAGGGGAAATACACTAAGCTCAAAGAAAACTTACTAACTTATATTTCACTCTTAGCAGTGTTGTGAAGCCAAAAGACACCACAAGGTGGTACTGCAGGAAAGCAAGACAAAAAAAAAGAATAACACCAAACTGTTTGAGTGTTTTTACAAACAGAATGGTTTCAATTTTTATTTTAAAGAATAAATGTAGTTTTATTTTAGTTTAAGCCTGCAGTCAGTGTTTAAGATTTAGATACGAACTGAATGCTGCCAAGAATCCTTAACTAACTGCTTATTAGGCTGTTTATTTATTGAAGACGGTGACTTTTTACATCAGATAGCGACATCAGGATTTTTACTCAGCTATTTTTACCATCATAGGCTTTAGAGTTTTGGAGCTGTTGTCTGCATCAATGATCCATATCAAATATTACTACTCTTTATTTAATGTCTTGCTGTCTTGTGGAGCCAAACCAGGCTTGAAGCTAAATCGTCCATTTTAAAAACCACCACTGCATGAGAAGCGCTTGATCATGCTGCCTGATGTTTTGCAACATCCAGTGTAAATGAAGAGAGGTGGATTACTCATTAAATCATGATTCACATCTGTCCTACTGTCTCCTTTATTTTATTTTATTTTGGATTTAGCATAAACACTGATTAAGGTCTGACCTTTACGTGATTGACCCCGATAATGCAGGATGAGGAAGACGATGGTTGCTGTCTGAGCCAACGTGAAGAGCCTCTCAGCCCAGGCACTGTACAGAAACAGAAAACAGATGTACTACATGGTAAACACAGAGGGGCTACTGACTCTGAAATGTTTGGACATTAATGAAGCCGCTGTCTTTGAACTATGAGGAAGTCCTAATGGGGGAGTCAGGAGTTGATAAGCTGTATATTCAGGGAACTCTGCAAACAGCTCCCTCTCTCACTGTGGTCTTTATACATAAATCAAACATTCATGAATCAAATATGTTAGTGTTTTTCCAGGAGGAAGGGGGGAACAATCGTCCAAAAGTAAAGGAAGAGATGTTTCTAGTATGAAATTAAGTTTAAACCAAACTAAGAGGTATGTTGGAGAGAGATGGACAAAGTCAAACTGCAAATCAAATTATAAATTTGACCAAAAAATGAGAACTATAGAACGATGGGAAAAAATCTTCAGAATCATTTATATCTGGTCCCAAATTCTACATGAAAAACAGTGAATCAAAAGCTAAACCCAAACTGTAAAAAGATGAGCAACTTGGTGGCTTAAATGGGCCTGACCATACACTATGACTTTATGGATTTCTACATCAATGGCTTTACCATTGGATTACGTTTTGATTCTGCATTTACACTTTGTCTTTACTCTATTTTTTAGTAAAATTAAGCTTTTGTATTTTTACCGTCACAATACAACATGACTGAAGGTGCGGTGGATGTGAGTCATAAGTAAACAAGGAAGTCTATTTCTTAAACGAAGGTGTGAAAAGAAGGAGAAGTCCAAGATCAAGAGTGAAAAAGCACAAAGAATACTGAACATTTATTGGAGGGATAAGAGACGATTAGCACTCAGAATATAACCAAAAAGTTTGTGTTTACAGAAGTTTAATCCGCTGATGGATCTATGCGTAAGTACTGCTAGTAGGTGGGGACAGCGTACAATGATGTCTGCTGACTGTAACAAAGGCAAACATTGTTTTCAGGCTCACAAAGGACAAAGTAAACGCTATCAGGATGAAATTTGGCCTAAATTGATTTAGTCAAATATTAACATCAGTATTTTGTGGTGACTATAAGCTACATTACAGAAATATAATGAAAAACTGAAATGCCCATTAAGGACTGTTAACCGATTTTGGATATCCATCACTGAGCTAAGAGCTAAAAACAATACATGGAAATGTGAAAAAAAAAAAATTAATCTGATTCTATTTTGTTTAAAATGCTCCAAAAATTTAACTGTATGATCTTCAGCTCAAACATCTTTCAGAGACTTTTTTAAAATTCGTTCTGTATTTAAAAAAATGTCTTTTTAAACTGTAATGATTGCATCAAGTCGCTACCTCTGCAGGAAACCTTCCCGATGAACAAGGATGTGACAACAGCAAACAGTGGAAATAAACAAACTAATTGAATAAACCACCATATTTATTCATTTGTGAACTATTTTTTTTGTCATTATTATTTACTCTGATCGTTCTTCACCTCAACAGAAAAAGGTGATGCTCTGATATTTCTGACTGAGAACCATGGCGTCGGGTTAGATTTAAAGATGCCAACAGAAGCACTTCTGGATAATCTGATAGGATATTATAGACCTGGGTTTCTTGGTCCTCGGGGCCCTACATGTTTTAAGGGTTTCCTCTGCCTCCACACACCTGAGCTGAATGATAAAGTAATCAACAGGCTTATGCAACATTTGATGGCTGCTGAGGAGGTAATGCAATCATTTGAATCAGTGGTGCTTGAGTAGAGACACATCTAAAATATGAAGGACAGTGGGTTAAGAAACTATGTTACCAGGCTACACCTTATACATTCAGTCCAAAAGGATCCTAAATTGCTTTTTTGACAGAGAATCATTCAGTGTCTCCAGAAAAGTCAAACAGAAGAAATGAACAACATGTAGAAGTTTTATTAATTACTTACAAAAACGGGAAGTTGCTGGCTGTGGCGTAAATGACCGGACATGATAAAGCATAGAGCTGCAGCAGGAAGGAGGTCAGGCTGAGGCCCTCTGAGCTTCCACTCCATGCAATCTTCAGCAGCTGAGGGAGCAGCGCTGCTCATCAAAGGTGATAGATTTGAAAACAGAATTAGGAGGGAAAGGCGTTAACAGGATTAGGCATCATCTGTGATAAAAATCTATTAAAGTTTCATGGTTGTCTTGTTTGCACCTTGCTGAGTTCGTCACAGAACATGATTACATTATAAAATGTGAGTTAGTTCCATAAACCCTACCGCTTCTGCATACAGAGAACATGACAATGATGTGGATTCCGAGAAACTGATGTCTGTGTTATCAAGATTAAGACATAATCACTCAAAGTTTTTTTATTTGAGTCCTTTAATTAAATCATGACCTCTGATCAAAATGTGAAAGAGCAAAAAGCTTTAGTCAGTATTTAGGTTCAGGGTGCTAGTGCTCCTGAAGTGTTTCTTAAAAGTAATAATCCTTTAAAAACCTTTTAACATTTCATTACTTTATAAACTTTTATAATTCATTCTTTATGCTGCAGATACAACTTAGATTTCTTTTGATCCAAACATGTCTCTGGTTGAATGTTTAGGCTTGCTGTGCTGTAGGATCTCCCAGCTGAGCTGTGAGTCTCTGCAGCTCCTCCAATGATAATATCAGCATCTTGGCAGCTTCTCTGATAAATTCTCTCCTTCTCTGACCTAAAAGTTGACTTAATGCTTGCGCCACAAATGAACTGAACCGGCCTGTTTTGGATGCTCAAACTTTATAGACTTTGCTTTTAACCTTCACCTGCTTTAATTTTCTCCACTACGCATCAATGATCTGTCTGCTCTGTTTCTAAGTCTTCATGATTTTATCATGTGTCGTTACTTTTCTTTTATCTGCTTATGCTCATAGAGCATACTGAGAATTAATCTGTATTTTAGTTTTATTTTGAATTAGGTCGACTCTGAACATAAAAGCCTCTGGGATTTTTTATTGAATTTTAGAATAAAAGCTGCACTTTTCATTTCACGTGTATAAAAATATGAGCCTATATTTTCCAATTTTTATGACAAAAGCAAAACTCTATGACAATGCATTGAATCACAATAAAACAATAATAAACAGTCTTACCCAGAAATGTATCCAATATGATCCAAAATCCGACAATTTTGTTTAGCACAAACCTGAGGCAGGGAGCTGGAAAACAATCATAACATAAAAACAGCAATCAAAAAAGACAGATCAAAGCAAATTATATAATCATGAACATTATTTCCCCCATTTATGGATGATTAAAGTCATCATTAGTCCATATTAAAGTCAGCCAAATGTTATTAATCTGCATGCCAGGAAACGTCTGCTGCTTTCTGTTTTGATATTTCCCACAAACAGACCCTCACCGTGAAAACGAACTTGGACAAAAAGCTCATTATAGCATTTTTCTGGCATTAAATGTCCTACGAGGAGGTCTTTGAAGAGAGATGTGTCCATGGTGGATCAGCTGTGGACAGGAATGATCTGCTGCAGCAGGGGGAACCATCCAAACATCCCACATGAGCTCTGACCTGTAGTTCAGCAGATCCTCCCCTTCTTTCTTCTTTTGTTTCTGCTTCCCGTGGACTTTAATGGCAGGGGCTCCCAGAAACTGCAGTTAACCCTTGATTGCTCAACAGACCTTTGCTTGATTAGTGTGTAGTTTGGAACCAGAGTATTTCAGGTGGACTCAACAGACATATTTCTTCCACAGACATGATAAAATGTGTTTAACTGATACAATTGTTTATAGCTTTGGTTTATAAAAGAGGTTTTAAACTTAAATTAACATTCACATTTAGTATGGGGTTAGTCTATGGCTTACAGCATGTTCGACATCTACTCTGAACTGGTACAAGCAAAAACAAGAAATGGTTCATACAGTGTTGAATAATTAGAATGAGCTTTTCCATACATGTGCAAATTCAATTTAAAGTTTAAAGGAGTAGAGATAACTTTTGTTCGATCATCTCTAGAAGAGCTAGTTTAGTAAATAGTTAATTATTTAGGGCTACCCAGGGTCCAGTTGATAGCATTGCTGGGTTGTAGAACGTATCCTTCTTATCGCCCATAAAAATGACATAGATATATTTCTAATTTAACTCTTCTTTAATTTTCTAGGTTGTGGGTCATGCTTTGGGTTTCATCCCGTATCCAGTATACACTAATCATGTTGTGTCAAATTATCTCAGGGATGCTTTGGTTCATATTTGATGAAAAAGCTGGTTTACATTTTAAAGAACAATTATTTTTAAATGTGGATTTCAGAATTTTGAAAACCTCTTTGGACACCAGGAAATTATGAATTTCCCAGTGTTCAAATAATTAGAATTTCTCTGTTTAAATAACTCATGAATTCAGTATCTGTAACTAAAGATCAACAGATATATGAAAATACTTTTTCAGATATTCCTTAAAGACTGAACCTGGATCCTGGGTTCCACACCATTAAAACCTAACCTATAATTTAAGAACAAACCTTGAGTAAATTAATAATTTTTAATAAATAACTTTGGTTAACACATAAAAACATTATGTGTAGTTAATGATCTATATAATGACATTAAAGGTATAGTTTAGGCTGTTATTACAGTGGAACTCTTTAATGCATATTGTACCTCTCTGTACACAGCTCACCTGTGGTCTACATATAAAAAAACAGCCTGCAAAGGCTACAGGTGGCCTATAATGATGCTTTGCGGCTTCTTTTGAAATGGCCAAGATGGATTAGTGCGAGTAAGATGTTTGTCAAAGCAAGAGTCAATACCTTACATGCTGTTTTACAAAAGTCAATGTATAGTTTTATCTAAAGGATAAATGCATCTGGCAATTATATTATCTTGACACATACTGACTGTCATGATCGGTTTACGAAGAGAGAGACCACTCAGAGAACAACGGAAAAGTTTAACAAGGTTTATTGAGGGGGTTTAAAAGGAGTTGGATCTGGAACTCAGTGAGCTGGTAACCCGGAAGTTAGAGGTGGGCCTTTTTATTCCTTGAATCCAGCCTGTGTGGTAAATCCGGAGAATGGTGCACACGTTGGAGGGCGGACAGGTTGACAAGCGTTGGACCCGGAGGAGTAATGGAGCAGACTGTCACTCGGATTTCCGATGGGTAATTGAACGGAAAATGTGGGGGTTTTCCCCTGCTCAGCGTAACACGATTTTTCCTTCCAGGGGAGAGAAGGTCCAGGAATCCAGTAACACAGGAAAGCTTCCTGCAGAGGAGCAAAGACAAAAACTCGTTAGACTCAGAGAAACAAAGGTACTGTAGGTTAGACTCAGCTAATCTAAGCTTGGCTAGAGTACCCAAAACTGGCAAACACTCTGGCGCCGAGGTAGTGACAGCCCACTGCTCAAATACTCCTCCAGATAATGGTCCAATGAGCTGCAGGTGTGCAGGGAGCCCAACGAAGACAGGGCAACTCCTGGTGGTGCAGAGAACGAAACACACAAACAGGCCACACAAACTGGATTCCTAACACTGACACCAAACGTAGTGCAATCAGATACCAGCCTGATCTGTGGAGACACTGGTATTACTGTCTCCTTAAATCTCCCATCTAATTGTAACTTGTACGTGTATTGTACTTTTCTACCTGTATTGTATANAAAAAAAAAAAAAAAAAAAGAACTGACCAAAGTGCTGTACAGAAAAAAAAAAAATAAATAAAACTAAACTTAAAACAGTATGGATTAAAAAACAATGAAAACATTAAAACATGGGTATAAATAACATTCACACAATCAAATCAATAATATTTGGGGTAAAAGATAAAAGGATTAAAAGATTAAAAAGATAAAAAATCAAATAAAACCCTCTGTCTTGCTTGTTTAAAAGCCAAAGACGAAAGGTGGTTTTTGACAAGAGATTTAAAAACAGTGTCTGATCTGCTTAGACAGGTCATTTCAGAGCTTTGGAGCTGCAGCTGTGAAAGCGCGGGCGCCTCTGAGCTTCCACTTAGTTTAAGGCTCTCTTATGAGCAGCTGACCTGCTGACCTGAGAGAGCCATTAGGTCTATAAGGATGTAGAAGCTCAGAGAGGTATAGTGGGGCAAGTCCATTAATGGATTTGAAAACAACTAAAATAACTTTAAATTCTAAACATAAAATTGCATTCATTTCTAACCCATTTCTACAGCCTAACCGTGACCTTCACTCCAACCTTATGGTTCATGCATACAAAATGTGTCTCGCATTCGTTTAAAGTTAGTAACGGGGTGAGGCAAGGTGGGATTTTGTCCCCAGTTCTTTTTAATTTGAATGACCTATCAACCTAGTTGGGAGCTTGAAACACTGGTTGTGTGGCCTGTAGATGATCTTGTAATATTTAGTCCAAGTACTGCTGGGTTACAGCAACTACTTAACATCTGTTCTGAGTACGGTCTGGAACATGACATTAATTACAATCCATCTAAAAGCGTGGTCAGGACCTGTTGGAGTAAAATAAATAAATTTATTCAGTTTCCAGACTTTCATCTGTCAAAGACTGTGCTGAGTGTCACTCATAAAACCAAGTAACTTGCAAACATCATCAAAGAGAATCTGTCAGATGATGATATCTGAAGACAATGTAGAATGTTGTATGCTCAAGCTAATACCCTTGCTCCTAAATTTGGTGGTTTATTACAGTGGAACTCTTTAATGCATATTGTACCTCTCTGTACACAGCTCACCTGTGGTCTACATTTAAAAAAACAGCCTGCAAAGGCTACAGGTGGCCTATAATGATGCTTTGTGGCTTCTTTTGAAATGGCCAAGATGGATTAGCAAGAGTCAATACCTTACATGCTGTTTTACAAAAGTCAATGTATAGTTTTATCTGAAGGATAAATGCATCTGGCAATTATATTATCTTGACACATACTGACTGTCATGATAGGTTTACGAATCTGACCCACATGCAGAGAGACCACTCAGAGAACAACAGAAAAGTTTAACAAGGTTTATTGAGGGGGTTTAACAGGAGTTGGATCTGGAACTCAGTGAGCTGGTAACCCGGAAGTTAGAGGTGGGCCATTTTATTCCTTGCATCTAGCCTGTGTGGTAAATCCAGAGAATGGTGCACACGTTGGAGGGCGGATAGGTTGACAAGCGTTGGACCCGGAGGAGTAATGGAGCAGACTGTCACTCGGATTTCCGATGGATAGTTGAACGGAAAATGTGGAGGTTTTCCCCTGCACAGCGTAACACGATTTTTCCTTCCAGGGGAGAGAAGGTCCAGGAATCCAGTAACACAGGAAAGCTTCCTGCCGAGGAGCAAAGACAAAAACTCGTTAGACTCAGAGAAACAAAGCTACTGTAGGTTAGACTCAGCTAATCTAAGCTAGAGTACCCAAAACTGGCAAACACTCTGGCGCCGAGGTAGTGACAGCCCACTGCTCAAATACTCCTCAAGATAATGATCCAATGAGCTGCAGGTGTGCAGGGAGCCCAATGAAGACAGGGCAACTCCTGGTGGTGGAGAGAAGGAAACAAACAAACAGGCCACACAAACTGGATTCCTAACACTGACACCAAACGTAGTGCAATGAGATACCAGCCTGATCTGTGGAGACACTGGTATTACTGTCTCTTTAAATCTCCCATCTAATTGTAACTTGTACGTGTATTGTACTTTTCTACCTGTATTGTATAATTTTTTATATATA